TCGCAGAAATTCAATTATTTTTGCAAATAATTAAATTTTTCACAGGAATTTAATTATTTAAAAAATGTAATAAAATTCATTGCAAGAATTCAATTATTTCCATAAAAAAAATTCTTTTTAGGAATTCAATTTTTGTCATTAATAATTAAACTCTTTTTAGGAATTCAATTTTTTTCATAAATAATCGCAGAATTTTAATAATTTTTAATAAAATTTTAATTAAATTAGTAGATATAATTGAATTATTCCTTTTAATTTTCATAAAATTTTTGAAAAAAAAATTCAAATACTTATAAAAGTTTTAATAAAATCCTTCGCAAAAATTCAATTATTTTTGCAAATAAATAAATTTTTCACATGATTTCAATTATTTCAAAAACTTAAAAACTTTATTAAAGTTCAGTGACAAAAATTCAATTATTTTCATAAATAATGAAACTCATCGCAGGAGAAAATTCAATTATTTAAAAAAATTTGATATAATTTCCTTCTTAGAGTGTAATAATTATTTTCATTTCATTTTTAATTTCATTTTTTGAATGAATTTAATTATTATCAAAAGTTGTTATGCAATTCTTGGTAAAAATTCAATTATTTTTAAAAATGTTGATAAAATTCTTTATAAGAATTCAAATTTAAGAATCATTCGCAATTATTCAATAAATCTATTTTTGTATTTAAATACATAATTGAATTCTCGTATAGAACTTTCTTTTAAAAATTGATTTAGAATTGATCAAAATAAAATGATTAAAGTTTTGAATAATTTTATTTATAAATTTCAAGAAAAAAAAATTATTTTGAAAAAAATGACTTTTGTAATTTTTATAAATAGTTAAATTTCTTTGTTCTTTTTTTTTAAATTTTGAAATGTTCTGTGTAATTTTTGAAATGTTTTGTTATTGATTTGAATTATTGGTAAAATTTTCTAATTTTGCTGTGGTCAGAGTACTTTTTTTATACCAAAGGATGAAGTTTAAAAAAACGAGTAAAGTAATTTTGAAGAGCCCAAAAATAATGAAGCAATTTGCCTTAGAATAAAAGAAAAATTTTGAATTTTAAGAATTTTCGATTTTTGGTGCTAGTGGTAAAAGTAATTATTTTTTTTTTGACCAAAGGGTGAAGTTTAAAAAAACGAGTAAAGTATTATTTAAGAGCCCAAAAATAATGAAGCAATTTGCCTTAAAATAAAAGAAAAATTTTGAATTTTAAGAATTTTCGATTTTTGAAGCTTAGTGTATTTTTAAGAATTCTCATTAGTTCTAATAATTAGGGGAGGAATGTCAGTTTTCATTTGTTGGGAAAAAGGGTTTTTAGAGTACAAGAGAATATAGGAAGGGGGTTAATCTTATTAAGTTGTCTTAATCCTTCTGTTTTAGGATATCCTAAAATCTATATTCCATTTTTCCACTTTCTTCATCTATTCATATTCAATCTAAATGGTATTTTTTATTTACATCAAAATTTTTCATTTATTAAATTTTTCATTTAGAAAAAATCGTGGCTTCAGTGTACACAGTTTTTCTGCAAATATCAAATTGAGACAAAAGAAGAATTAAAAATGTTGCGAAGCAACGTTTTGATTCCTTTTTTTTGTCTCAATTTCTGTATGAGAATGTCAAATTATCAAAGTAAAATATTATATCAAATCCAATGAACATGTTACATTAGAGAATATATAAAAATTAATAATTAATCATAAAGTACGTTCACTGGGGCATATTTTTCATTTTACAGGGTCTTTAATGCCTATTACGATTTCCATAATCTTGCGAGGTACTTTGAACGCTTTCTAGGAGGAATGGGAGTTTCAGAGGTTGAGGATGAAAAGAGGGTCGGGGGGGGGGAGGGTGGGAAGTTTTAGGAGGATGAGACGATGAAAACGAAGGGGTAGAGGCGAGAGAGCACACCCTTATAATATAATAATATACGCTAGAGAAGGTTCGCTTATATGGTATCTAGCGCTTCGTTGGTAGTCCAGAAGTTGTTGGAGATGAAAGTGGGAGTTGGGGGTTCGTGGGATGCAAAATGGCCGCCCACGTTAATGCCCTCTTAATATTTAGGGATCTTGTACGTCTAGCATCCCTGAAGCCGAACGCTATGCTACAGCCCATCCTAAAATCCACTTTACTGCCCCATTAGGGTAAAATATTCCTGCTACGAGGTTCCTAATCTTAAGATGTCGATTTCATTGGAAAAAAAGGATAATGTCCAAAATTTCGATTCACTTAAAGATTTACCCTTAAAGATGTACGTCAAGTAATCATTGCCTGTTTCTATAACTCTACAATATTTCTTCTATTTAACAACATCATAAGAAGTTCTTCTCTAAACTAATTTGCATTTACTCCCTTTAGGCCTTTAAACTTACTATTTTAAATAAAATTAACAATTTTAAATGTATATAGAATTTAAAAATTTTTATTTCAAATTTTTGTTGAAAACACTGAAAAAATTCAATTTTTCAGAAATTAAAAATTAAAATTAGCAATTTTAAAAATAATAGAACATAAAATTTTAATTTTAATTTCTTTTATAAAAATAAATTATGAATTAATTCCAATTATATGGAATCAATATTATATTGTATGGTATATAGTTTTGATATTATTATAATTATAATAATCATATATTCTGAAATAGAGAATTTAGGAAAAAGTCAAGAATTTTTAACAGTACTGAAAAAAATTTAATTTTTAGAATTCATAAGAAAATTCCAACTTTTTGTGTCATTTTTGTTTGACTCTTAAACGATAAAATTTCCACAAATTTTAATACAAAACATTTCATTTTTTCAATATCTGACAAAAATTTCTTTTGAAATAACTTAAATCTTTAACAATTATCATAAAATAAATAAATTAAATAATTAAATAATTGAATAATTAAATAATTAAATAATTAAATAATTAAATAATTAATAATTAATTACATAAATATCTCAAAATTAATTGAATTTTAAAAGAGTCGCGTTTACAATTTTCATAAATAAATGAACTTCAAACGTTTATAATTTAAAATTTTATAAAATTTCAATTTTAAATGAATTTAATTAGAAATTTTAAAGAACTAAAATTTTCGGAAAATTTTAATAATTCAAAATCTTCTAAAATTCGTTAAGTTTGTCAATATATAGGTATTTAATTAATTCTTTAAAATAATGGATTCATAGAAGAATTTTAATTAAAAACATTAAAAAAGAATTGAATTTTGAAAAAGTTACAAATGATTGGAGAAATTCAATTATTTTCAAAAGTAATAAAATTCTTATAACAAAATTCAATTATGTTCAAAATTTACAAAAAAATCTCGACAAAATCCCAATTATTATCTTTATAAATAAAAAAATTCTTCAAAATTCAATTATTCTCAAAAATTTTAATAAAATTCTTGTCAAAATTTCAATTATTTAAAAAAATTTTTTTCATTTCAATGATTTTAAATATCTATTTTAATAAAATTATCTAAAATAATTTAATTATTTAAAAATAATTTTAATAAAATTGTACGCAAACATTTAATTATTTTCAGAAATAATAAAACTCATCGCAGAATTTCAATTACTTTTAATACAATTTTAATCAAATTTCTTAAAAAATGTAAATATTCTATAAATTTTTATTAAAATTCGTCAAAAGAATTCAATTATTTAAAAATTTCTTAATAAAATTCTTTCTAAGATTTAAATTTAAAAAAACATTTAATTATTCAATAAATAATTTACTTTTGTATTTAAATAATTGAATTCTGTAAAATAAAAATAAAGTGATAACGTTTTTAAACAAAATTATTATGCGTAAAAATATTTTCTCAACTTTCCAAGCAATTAATTTTTAACAGAGATAATAATGAATGTGAATGTGTCATTATTTGTTGAGTTTGTATAAAAAGTCGTTAATTTTCGAATTTTTATCTGCATTTATACGAACTGTTCACAAAAAACTGTTTCATCTCATATTTGTGCTTATCAATTCAGTCTTACTGGTAAATATTAAATTATAAATAAGTTGTAAACATATTAATATTAATAAACACTAATGTATTATTATCATTTTAATATGCATTGATATTTTATTTAAGAAAAAATCCTAAAAATTTGCCGTATTTGTAAATTTATTAACATTTATTCGATTTTTACAGAAACATTAGACAAAAATGTTGAATAAATCGATGCGCTTAATGTTAATCCTAATGGCAACAATCGTGTTCGTTTCACGTTCAATTGTAGCAAATTCATGTCTATCTAATGGACACACATGTAAAGTTGACGGTAGTTTGGGAAACTGCTGTTCTGGCTTTTGTTATCAACAAAGACGTTGGAATACCGGATACTGCAAAAATCCTTTAATATCATTCGATAATTTATGATCTTCCTCTAAATTTTCTTATCTTTACTATACAACTAACTAACTAATATCTAATAGTGAAAATAATATTGCAAACGATAATGATAATATTACTAAACAACTAAAAAAAACAAAAAAACAAATAATAATAATAATAATAGTGATAATAGTGTTAATATTGCTAATGATAATCAGAATAGTACTAAATAACTAATATCTAATTGTGATGATATTCTTAATTATAATGTAAATTATAAAGTTAATAATAATATTAATAATAATGTTAATAATAATGTTAATATTAATGTTAATAATAATGTTAATGAAAATGTTAATACTAATGATAATGTCAATGCTAATGGTAATGATAATGTTCATGATAATATTACCACAATGACAGTAAGAATCATAATCTATTACGCAATAATTTTATTGTAAATTATTTTCTTATAAAAATTTAATGCTCTAATTTTCACATCTATGCGAAACATATTATTGTACATTATAAAAGTATTTTTCATCATACTTATACTGATTAAAATATTTAGTGCAAAAAAAAGTCTTCTGTTTTTTCAAGTGTGCACGTGCGCCTTATCTGGTTTCGTTACATACATTGTTCCTTGACGTTATTTAAAATTTGCATTTGTCGCAATAAAGTTAGAGGAAAAAGTACAATATCTTAAACAATTAAATAAACATTTGACTCCAAGTTTTATTAACAATTCAGTTTCGTATATAATTTTTAGAATTGAGAGACTAAATTTTAGGTGAAAGAAAATCGAGAACTGACTAATAATTTTTGTTATAGTTGAACAATAATTGGATCATAAAGTAATATAATTGTAATAATAATAATAATAATAATAATAATAATAATAATAATAATAATAATAATAATAATAATAATAATAATAATAATAATAATAATAATAATAATAATAATAATAATAATAATAATAATAAAAATAGTGATAAAAATAATAATAGTAATAATAGTAGTAAACTTTTTTTTTAGAGAACAGCTTAAAATATGGTGAATTTGAAACTAATTGGACTATTGGTGATGATTATAAAAATCGCTATTTTGGTGAAATTATCGAATGCACAATGTATTGTGAATGGTGGTATATGCAAACCCGGAATGGGTCGTGTTTATTGTTGCGGAATTTGTCAACTACGACCACAATTTGACTATGGAATATGTATTAATGGATGATATTTGTGTTAACCATACGTTCCTTTCATCCATATAAAGGTTATAAAATAAATTCTTTTCAAATCTAATAAATATTTTTTCTTTTATCATCAATGAAATCCTCTTTTCAATCTCAAAACAACAGATTTTGAAAATTTCTGATCTTTTCCTAGTTTATAATGTTTATAGCAACAAATGCTACAGTTGTAATGAAAATATTTCTATTGGATTCTATTTTTATTTTACTAACAAAATCAATTATTTCTAAAACAATCTGTAAAATCAGGAAACAGATTTTGAACAGTTTATGAGACAACATTGTTAAATTTTCCAACTCCCAATATAGTAAGGGTTAAAAATTTCTAATTTTTGTTTTGTTTGTAGAAGGAAATAGTAGTCGACAAGGAACTACTTTTTGTCGATTTTATTTCTCTTTTGTTTTCCAAAAGAATTTACAAAAGCAAGAAAGGGATTTTTAACGGATGATGATGTGGTACCAACATTGGTATTTTTCTAACTTGTTTATAATGAAGGTAGATTAATTTTTCTTTTATTAATTCTAGAAACAGAATTTTCTTTTTTTTCTCAAGAACCTCTTTCTCTTCTTTCAAAATTTGCGCAAATGATTACTTTCATGATAAGTTTTTTGTCTCAATTTGATATCCTTGGAAAACTACTTGGATGTACAAGATTTTAATACAATAAAGGAAATAATTATTTTACCAAATGACAACATCTCATATAAAAATTAATGAAGTGATCAACAGAAGCAAAATTTTGAAATAGTTTAGGAATTTTGAAAATTTATTTTCCACTGGAAATTAAAAGATATTTTATTGTCCAACACAGACGTGAAAACAAATCTATTACTGTGAGCGGGTAATAGTCTAAAGCTTTGCCTATATAAGCACAGCCCCAAAGAGAGAAGTATGCAGACCAGACGTGGATTCTGGCAGAATAGAATCCACTCACACGAGGAGAACTATTCGTGGCATCTGAAAAGTCGAGATTCGAATAGTCTAATGGTACCGAACGGTACCTTCTTCGATGTTAGAAACCACGTAGGTATTAAGGGAGTTCTCCAAAGTCTGCTGACGATGTCGAGGTGTGGGTGGAATAAGAGGGTGGTTTGAGAAAGAGAAATAGAGAGAGAGAAGGAAAACACAAGCTAAGGCTCTATATAGAGTATAGTGGTAGGGGTGTGTGAGAACCGAGAACGAAACCCCGCGAGTCGAGGGTGGAAGTAGAGAAGCAGAGAGTCTAAGGTAGATTATATTATTTCTCCGCCTCTGCGGAACCCGACCGTGTGGCCCGCCATTTTGTGAATGTTAAATCATTTATTGATCCAAGAAGGTGCCTCCTTCCACTTTTGGGTGAAAACCATCCGACGACCTCCAACGAACCTTTCTCCACCCTCTCCTACTTGCCTAGGGTATACCCGAGCGACGTCTGAAAGGGGGTTAAACATGGCTCGATCCTTATTCCGCGAGGCGAATTTATATACCGCATATATATATACACACACACATTGAAAACTTATACCACGAAATGGTACCTTTATGTATTTACACATATATATATATATAAGTATATAACATTCAGAGAAGGTAGAATTTCAGACAGAACGAAGAACGAATTTATTGCCTCGCGGGGGTTACCCAACCGAGGGACTCCCATCATTTCCACCCTTCGAAAACCTTCCCTGGTTACAAGGAGCATAACACACAGTCAAGATATTCCAGAGGAGCCGAATTAAGATTTTATTTTTTGATGTCAATTTTCACTTTATTACCCAAAGAATTATGCAAAACAATACGAAATTTTTAATTATCTATTTATCTCACTTCGTACTGATCGTTTTCAGAAAAAATGTCAAAAAAGTAAATTTAACATCTTTGTCTTTTTACATATATCACGTTATACTGGAATTTCGATAGACTCCGAACGATAATTTCGGTTTTTATCAAAAGACTAACAACAATTCGCGCTGCTTACTTCTTGCCTACTTTTTAAAATAAAATTAGCAAATTCTTGATAATAACAAAATTTAAAAATTTTTAATTCAAATTGTTGAAAACTGAAAATTAAATTTTAGAGAAGGTAGAAATAACTGCAGAAATTCAATTATTTTCAAAAGTAATAAAATTCTTCTAAAAAAATTCAATTATGTTGAAAATTTGTAAAAAATTCTGGTCAAAGTCTTAATTATATTTATAAATAATAAAATTCTTTCCCAAAGTTCAATTTTATTTTTGAAAAATGTCAATAAAATTTTTGTCCTAATTTCAATTATTTTCAAAAATTTTTCTCCTTTTATAATGATATTCAATGTCTACTATTTTGATAAAATTTCTCAAAAAGAATTCAATTTTAAAAAAATTTTAATAAAATTGTACACAGACAATTGAATTATTTTCATAAATAATAAAAAGAATGCAATTATTTTCGTAAAAAATAATTAAAAATTCTAGAAAATAATAATTGAATTGAAATGATGAAAATAATTTTGAAGAAGTTGGAGTAACAATTTTCCTATAATATAAAATAATGATTTTATCACTCGGACATCTTTAATTATTAATTATTATAAAACATGAAGATATCGATTGCTCCGAGTCGAAGACTCGGAGTAATCGATTTCTTCATGTTTTATAATAATTAATAATTTTTTCATCATTTCAATTCAATTATTATTTTATAGAAATTTCCATTATTTTTTATGAAAATAATTGAATAACTTAAATAAGATTTTTATTATTTATTAAAGTAATTTAATTATTGCGAAGATAGTTATGAAAAATTTGTAAATAATTCAATTCCTGTGGAATTTTCAATTATTCTTTAGGAAAATAATTGAATTCTTTAAAAAAATGTTATTATTTATTAAAATAATTGAATTATTGCGATGAAATTTATTCAAAATTTGTAAATAATTTAATTCATGTGAAATTTTTTTTATTTATGAAAATAATTAAATAATAAAAACTTTATTTAAGTTATTCAATTATTTTCTATGAAAATAATTGAAATTTCTGTAAAATAATAATTGAATTTTTAATTATTTTTTATAAAAATAATTGGATAACTTGAATAAAATTTTTATTATTTATGAAAATAATTTAATTATTGCGAAGAAAATTATAAAAAATTTGTAAATAATTATATTCCTGTAGAATTTTCAATTATTCTTTAGGAAAATAATTGAATTCCTTAAAAAAATGTTATTATTTATTAAAATAATTGAATTATTGCGATGAAATTTATTCAAAATTTGTAAATAATTTAATTTCTGTGAAATTTTTTTTATTTATGAAAATAATTAAAGAATAAAAATTTTATTTAAGTTATTCAATTATTTTCTATGAAAATAATTGAAAATTCTGTAAAATAATAATTGAATTTTTAATTATTTTTTATAAAAATAATTGAATAACTTAAATAAAGTTTTTATTATTTATTAAAATAATTTAATTATTGCGAAGAAAATTATAAAAAATTTGTAAATAATTAAATTATTTTTTATGCAAAAAATTAAATTACTAAAAAAAATTTTTATTATTTCTTAAAATAATTGACCTATTGCGAAGAAAGTTATAAAAAAATTGGTAAATAATTGAATTCCTGTAGAATTTTCAATTATTCTTTAGGAAAATAATTGAATTCCTTAAAAAAATGTTATTATTTATTAAAATAATTTAATTATTGCGAAGAAATTTGTACACAATTTGTAAATAATTTAATTTCTGTGAAATTTTTTTTATTTATGAAAATAATTAAATGTTTTCGTACTATTATATTAAAATTTTTTTTTTAAATAATTAAATTCTTTTTGGATAATTTTATTAAAATAGTAGATATTGAAAATAATTGAAATTAGGACAAGAATTTTATTGACATTTTTAAAAAATAAAATAAAAAATTTATATAAAAAAGAAGTTATTGATGTTTTCGAATAATTTCAAAGAAATTCTTAAATAAATGTAAAGGAAGATTTTTTCGAGTAAAATTTTTTTTTTATTATTATCTGAAAATTTAAAAAGTTTTAATATTATTTTCAATTAAAATTTATAATTGACAAATAGAATTTATAAACATTTTGTTTGTATATTTTTAAAAATAATGTAAATTATTTCGTTATGAAAATTGAGAATTTTCTACAAAAATATTTATTTAATTCCAAATTTTTTTTCCAATATTTTATATCAACACTGTAATTTGGGAATTTTTTCTGATGTTCCAAAAATTAGTAAGGAAAAGTATTTTTTTTAAATTTGTTCAACATTTTTTATACATTAAGTAGAAAAAAAAATTTTTTTTATATAGAAATTTTATAAATTTTAAAAAATTCATTATGCTTTCAAAGGAAGAATAAACATATATTCAAGCGAAAAATCCCTGAGACATTAAAGAGAAAATTTTTCTAAACTTTTGTAAGGAAATTTTCCTAAAATGAATTTAGAAAAAAATGTTTTAATCTCAAAGTCTGAATTAATTTTTCTTGACTAATAAAATAATAATTTTCAGAATAATTAATTATTAAATTAATTTTTAAAATGATTAATTATTAAATTAATTTTCAAAATGATTAATCATTTAATGAATTATTAAAAAAATATTGAATAATTATTGAATGATACGAAATGATAAATTACTACAATGATTCATCATTACGCTGAAGTTAATCTTCAAAAAGTTTCTGACAGTATTAGAGCATTTTCTATTAAACATTCAATAATCCGACAAATCTCTGAAATCCAACAAGTCTTGGTCGCATATGTGTCGGATTAAAGAGATTAAATATTCGCATTTCGCATAGTCGAATAAATTGTCGAATAAGGAATCCAAAAAAAAGAAAAATAAAGAAAGTCTGTGTGGAAGGAAAATAATTTTAATTCTCGAAGAAGAGTTTTTATTATACAAACGTTAAATTCACTTTGATAGATCGCAATAAGTTTTTGGTGACAGCGCTGGGATAATAATAATCTCATACGTATAAAATTGAAAAATTATAAATAAAAAATTCTTTAAATTTGAATTATTTAAAAATGTCTACTAATTTGAATTAACAACTGACTATTTGTTTTTATAT